GGCTTTGTCACACTGTATTGGAAGCAACACAACAATCGATTTCATACCAATATTCTACTATTCTTAATGGCACGTGCAAATGTTCTACGATTTCCTGTTAGCTATTTCTGCTTAGTTTCGTTTTATATTTTCCTCTTTTTTTGTGGTTTAAATTAATGGAGGGTAAGCAAAAGAGAGAGAGAGAGTGGCAGACCTTAAAAGAGGCAACAATTTATGCTGCTGTACGTAGTGACCGATTAGATAATATCTGCAGTGGTAATTCTATTGATATTTATTTTCAAAACATCTTTTGATATAAATATTGACATTTACTGTGCAATAAATCAAATAATTCATCAATCAAATCACTATAGATTGCCTGAAAGCAAATAAAGGCGAACGTGTTGTGGATTTCAAATTAGAGTGTTAATATTATATGAAAGTATATAGTATGAGTATACATAATATGAAAGTGTAAATATATTAGTAGCTTCAATGATTTTTAGCCAAAATCATCTGCTTTAGTCAGCTGCCATTGAAAGTAACTGATGTGGATTTTCCTTAAATGTTTTTCGATAGCTTTTAGACTTAATTACTCATTTAAGTAATTATGAGCAAATGTCAGTTTGCTCCAAGTTATGCTACCCTCTTAAAGGACAACCCGCCAAAGCAGAAAAACTCATTCATGCGTAAATAAATCGAATGCCAAATAATTTGAGGCCCCCTGATTGAATGGCAAATGTTAGTCATTGTTCGACAGAACAATTCGAGCACCCATTAAGTGATTGCGAAATCGCTCGTAAGTAATTTATAATGTTCACAAAGAGTAATACAAAACAATAAAAATAATAATAATACATTGACATTTATTCAACAAGTTATCTAAGCTTTAAAAGTCAAAGATTTTTGACTGCGTTCAATTATTATAATTGGCAGACTTTGTATAATGTTCAATTTGCTATGCCAGAAAAGCTCTTTTCTAATAATTGATTAAATTATACATATATATATACACATGAGAGCCTCCCCACATATAAATTTTCTTTGTTATCTAAGGGAAAGTAAAAAAAAAAAAAGTAAAGTAAATAATTAATTAATATGCTCTTGTTAGCTTTTCAAAAAGCGCCTTTCAACACGTGGCCTAGCTCTCTTCCTCCTGCTTGCTCCCCTCTCTCCACCTCTCTCTTGCTCTGAGAGTTTGACGTTCCATGGACAATTAAATTTTAGGCGCTCAGCTCATTTGTGAATTGCTCTACTTGTTCACGCAGCGAAGAGAGTATATTGGCTTTGTGACTTGTTGCTGTTCAGCTGATTTTAAAAATATCAAAAATAAGAAAATAATCGTGAATTTTGGGTTGAGCTGAGGAATATAAAACATATGCCATCTATGTTAACTACTTTCTTTAAATTACGGCCCCATCTAGAACATACACATATACACATATTCAATATAGGACAAAAGTCCCATCACTATTAAATGTTTAAATCATAATACATGTTATTTAGTCTATAATAAAATTAGATAAATATATAAATGTAGAGTATTGCCTCGCTTATATTACCCAGTTGCCATGCCCATTTCACAAAACACAGAGTCCGTAAAACAAAGGCGTGCAAAATTTCTGTTTTATATCAAACGAAATAAACTGATGAACCGTAACCCACCTTTGCACAAACGGCACTTAAGATCCATGGAAGCCAGTGTGTGCTTTCCATGTTTACATGTACTCACACGTACGTACACACATACATATGCACACGCGTATATACGTATATGTACAAATAAAAGCCGCAATCTACAATTTACGCAGAGGCTGAGCAGCAGCTCCACTTGATATCAGGTTCATTCGTGAATGGCTGCGGTCTGTTTGTGTGTTTGTTGTCCGATTGTAATGAAACTTTTAGACCCTAAAATTGCTGTCCAAATGTGTATATGTATGTATGTGTGTGTATATAAACAACAATAACACAAAAGGCTATTTGTCATTTCAATTTGGGCACGCAGCGAACAAATGTATTAAAAATAGTCCAACATTCCTGTATTACGTAGACGGCGAGATTTGATATACGAAATTTGATGTTTATAGCTGGAAATTTATTTGACTCACTGTTTAGAAATACATATGGTTATTTTTTACTCGAGCATACAATATAGATACTTATTTACATATATTTTATTCTTAGTTTGGAAGAGTTTTACTCTCAATCAGCTGAAAAATAATATTTTTATTATATAAAAGCATATTTATAAAAGCATTGGAATTGGAAGAAGGAGAAATCTATAAGCAAAACATTTTTTATTTTCCTTTGGAATTTCAATTTTACTTTGCATTTCTAAAGTTGAAGAAAATCTTATGATAAACGGATTTCCCTTATAGTTTTTTTTATTTTTTATATTTATTTAAATTCAGATTGTGTAAGAAGAAAGTTTTGCAAAAAAGTTTCTCAAATATTTTTATTGATTCGCTAGATAGTTATGTATAAACAAAAACAAAAAAATAAGAAACTGTATATCAGCAAGAGAAGTTTGCAGACAGCGGAAGATTACTTGATTAACTCTGGCATAATAACTAGAGATAATTTGCTTCTGTTTGTCGCCTGTGCACAAACTCATTTGAACAATTTTCCACTCCTTTCCAATTGGGAATACGAATATATATGTCTATATTTAACATATGCATAAAGAACTCATTTAACTTTGCTACGCCGCATGCTGCTCGTTGATTATTGGTCAATTGCAGCTCTCGAAAGTTTAAGAGCAGAGAAATAAACATATTTTAATTGGGGGCAACAACTTATTCAGCAGGTGCAGCTGCCATTATGCACACTGCAGCAGCAACGCGCCACAAAGAGTTTCTGCTGCGCAAATATTCCGCAGTCCGTGCTTTATGAATGCAAATTTCGTTTGCTTTGTAGTGGGCATATAAAACAAATTATAAATCATAGACTTTGGCATACGGCTAACTTTTGCGACAGAGCCTCTCATACATATCCTCTTGCTGGGCATTATTTATATGCCCCTGAGCGGGCATCGAGTTACCCTTAATCCACTCCCAAATTAACTACAGAGTATTCACGAGCTGCCTGCATGCCCTATTAGCAAAGTTCAGCTTCGCATGCTCTAAAATGTTGTTATACACTCGCATGTGCTTAGTGCTATATGAGCTGGAACTTGCATGCGGCTTAAAAGTCCAGTCCGTCCGCTCGCCTGCCTTTCAATACAGAAATACAGAAAACACTAGAAACCAACAAATATGTTGCGTGATTAAATCGTATTTGGTTTACACTTTTCACAAGAGTTTTGCATTGCAAACAAAGCGTTTTTTATTTGGATTATTTTGAGTTTTATTTTGCATGTGTATATGGCTTGAATTGCTTTGCAATTGGTTTAATATTTACTTTAGTTTTTAATTGGCAATATAAACGTACGCAAATATTTATCAAAGGACTGCACAGTTACCCTATAGAAAAGAGTTTATTAAATTTGAGCCATATTCGTTTTACTAGCTGAACTAAAATGTATTATTTGTGTATGGTTGGAAAAATATGTAAATGAATTTATAAACTATTTTTTTAAGTGAAAAGCTCTTCAAAATGAGAAAACCTCTTATGTTTCAAGCAGCGAAATATGCTTCTCCTGACTAAATGCCAATATTTAATGATTATTTAGCATTGAGTCAAGGCTTGACTTAGCACATATAACATATTTACATAAACATATATCAGGAATCGCTCATTGTGTCATATATGTATACTAACTATGCACTCAACTGTTATTAGTATCATTAAACTGTTAACAAGCTATATACACACTCAATTACATGCCATCGACTGCTATTTTCTATTTAATTAGCTGCGAGCTTGATGTTTGTTTGAAGAGGGCATTTCAATGCTCTATTTACCCAATTCGGTTCAATGCACCTGCAGGCACATAAAAAATGCAATAATCGATTATTAACGAACAGTTATGTCAACTTTAATAATAGCGAGCATTTTTCCTTTGTGCTCAAACGCAAACAGCGTAGGACATAGCCCAAAGGCTGAATATTTTTACGGTTGGAGCGAATATAAGTTGTTGTTTTGGCATT